AGAGGTAACTTAAGAAGATTAACCTCACTAAACTAAGGTTAGCTTTTATGAACACTCCTCGCCCTYTCTTGATGTGGCAAAAAAGGAGAAAACTCTTTCAAAGACTGGCTTATTTTTGGAGAACTTCCTCARTGTTTACTACCAGGGGGAGCAAAGCACACATCACACTTGTGTCAGCTGTTTGATATCACTCCAGATGTCAGAACTGATTATTTTTTTTCTTTTTTTTTCTGACAGAGGCACAAGTGGCTGTGCCTGTAGCTCCCTGACCCTGCAGAGCTGGCTGAAGCTCATCTGACCCCCATTGCAGGTTGATTTTCCCATAAGGAGTAAGGAACCCAGGGACTGATGGAAGAACACACCCAAATCCTCCGTGGATCCAGAATTGGGACATGAATGGGGCACTCAGCCAGGCCGAGGAGCTCAGAACCACTCTCAGATCTCGGCGTGCGAGCGCAGCCAGGATGACCAGMGTTTGTTTGCGAAGATTTGTGAGACTGTCACCAACACCAGAGCCTGTGTGTGTCCGTGGCAGCTTTTCAGCGTGCCTCTGCTGGGCTTCTGACATTAAAAATTCCTCTCAATCAGGGCTGCAGAGAGGAGCTAATGACTCACAGCTCCTACAGGTACCGAGTGCTTCGAGAACCGAGCGCCGCGCCATCTCTTGTAATTATGCTGAGAGCCTTGACAGGCCTGGCAACTTTAATAACTCCTTAAGAGCAGACTTCCTGAAGTAAACAAGAAGCTCTTAACTAGGGGGAAATGGAGGAAGCAAAATGTGATTGCCTATTGCTGTGCTGCTCTTTGTGTTTCCTCTTTTCCAAGGCAGCAATTCTTCCGCGTGCCCCTCGGTTCTGCAAAGCAATGAGATCTCAGGACAGCTCTCCTTGCCCAAAAATTATGTGCATGGGCTTATCTCGATTTTCTGATGATTATAAACCAATAGTCTTACATTGTGCACAGCTGGGSATTTTCCCAAGGGCGACACACAATTTTGGTCATCTTAGTGGACAAAAAAAAGCAGTAAAAAACCTGCAGCGATTCTCCACAAAGCAGCTGACACAGCTGAGCACCAGAAAAGCCCATTTTTATGGGATTCACTGCTTTCCACATGGAAGCACGTTCTAGATCATTCTCCATTCTCTAAAAAATATCAGAGGAGCTCCWGTGTCTCAGGTGTCTAAATTTAGCTCTGTCTTTTTCATGCAAGTGTTGGTTCAGAAGGTTCACCACAAGACTAAAGTGGTGTATTTAGCAGGAAAAAAACCTGGAGTTTTAATCCATGAAGGTGATTGCCATGATTTCAAATAAGTGTTGCCATCTAACCTGGGTTTTAGAAATTAGAAGCTTGAAAATGAAGAAATAAGAGGTGGAAAAGGAGAAAATAACAACCAAAAGGGAGGAAATAAGAAATGTGTTTCTTTATTGGCAATCATGTATGTTGTTAGACAAACCACTATGCCTTTATTGTAAAAGGAAAAGGTATCTTTTGGATGAAGAAACCAGATAAAACTAGATAAAACTAGATAAAACTAGATAAAACTAGATAAAACTAGATAAAAAAGAATAAAGCATTTTCTCCTTGGAACAAGCTACCTGATCTTTCCTTTCTCTTGGTAGTAATGGTCCCCAGAAAACGTCATAAACAAGAATGAATTTGATTGTCCAGAAAATCCAACATTTAAGGAAAAAGCCATTTTTTTTAATTAATCTGCAAAGTAAATTCCTGTGATAAGACTGTCCTGTTTCAAGGAAAACATTCCCCCTCTTAGGCTATCACTTTTGTAAGCTTCCTGTAATTTCTCTTTTTAGTTTTTCCAGCATTCCCTGCTCTCAGCATCATTTTGTAGTGAGTGTGCCATGGTAGASATTACTGAAATTCAAATGAGCATTGAAGCCATCCCACTTTGCTYCGTGACTGTTGGATCCAGAGGTTTTGGGATTGGAGAAACATTAAATAACAAAAGCTGTGTTGAATTGTGGCCGGGTTTTCTGTCCCCTTCCAACAAAACCTGGCACCCAGGACCCTGAGGGGCAGAATTTCTCCTGGAGAGATGTCCTTCAATAAAAGGTGGCACCAAACTGCTTTTGCCTGGCAAATCAGGGSAGACAACAATCTGCCAGTGCTGCTTGGAGTTAAATGTGACCAAGGAGAAAAAGCAGATGCTCAGTTTGGGATTGGTGCTGTGTTTTCCCCTAAAAAAAACTTTTTAAAWTGCTCCTTCTCAGTCTATCTCAAGACAAAAGAGAGTGGTAGAAACCACATTTGACTCCCTCTGGAAGCCAATGCTTTTCTTTGTGTGTGGAAAGGGGCATCTCCTGAGAAGCTGTAAAGAGTTTCCTTTTATAGCTAAAAAGTTGGGTAGAGCAGACTACATAAAGGAAATTTTTGTCTGCCAGTCCTAGCTGTAGATAGAGCCTTGTGGCTGGGAATGAGAACTTCAACAGAAAGTAACACAATTATTTCTATCTTCACTTCCACCCACAACTCCCAAGGAATATTCAGAAGCTTTGACCTTGACTCTGAACCAGGAGTTCCACCTCAGCCAAAAGGTATTCTTCATATTTGGAGTCTCTAATGAAATATGGAATAATAAAATTCTCCTCACAGCTATTTCCTRTGCAAACACTACCATTGATTGCACTTTATTTAAAGGAACCAGAGTRTGAGAATAGGTTTAAAATACTACTTTTATTGGCATACTTTTTACACCAAAAGAAAAACTTCACTGGGTTTTTACCTCTGCAAATGGTGTGGAATTCTTARAAGTCTCAAGAAATGGAGCAATGTTTTTAATTTCCTATAAAATACTGCTTTCTGTAGTACATTTGATATGAGGATCTCAGTTTGTTTTACCAGAGTTACTGGGCTTGCTTTTCTCTAGTTTTRTGTTTTAGATTGAACTCCATCAAACTGGAGTGAGAAAGAGATTAAATTTCTTCCTCACAAATAAGAAGCAGTCAGGTAGAGCACACACATTTCTTATCATCCAAGGGGCCAGCTTTATAAAAGTCCTGTTATATCAGCTTTRTAAAATTCCTATTGCATGATGCAACTGCATTGTGCTGATTGCAACTGTGCGAGACTTTCCTAAAACAGGGTGGTCATTCATGGGTAAAACCTTCTGTGGTTTTCCAGATAAAACAAGGTTGATGTTTATGTCGTTGGGTTATTTCGAGCGAAAACTCAGAATGGCAGAAAACAGCAAAGACCAGGGAGAAAGACTAAACTAAAAGGTCAGATAAAAGTCAAGGTTGCAAAGGCAATGATCTCCTCTGAAACTCTGGGAAATCATGGTGGTGTTTGAAAATAAGGATGACCTGGCTKAGGGCAGAGATTGTGAAAGCTGGGAATGACCAGGAGATGGAAAGCAAAGGGAGCTGTTGCTAATGATTAGCGTTCCACACGACCTCTTACCTGCAGGAACACAAAGTACACACAACCCTGGCTGCTTGGCAGCAGCAGCTGCTCTTGTGGAAAGCGAGCAGCAGACGGCTCGGAACCAGCAGCAAATGCTTTGTGCTGGGGGAGAAACACCTGAGCTGCACAGCACAGCAAAAGAAGARCTGCTTTGCTGTTGTATGTCACCTTTTTGTTTTCTGGTGCAGAAACTGGAGGGGGAGATGACAGTCTTTACACACACTCCAGCGACAAAGTGTTTGTAGGACACTCAACCCCCAGCTTGGCTGCCAATAAATGCAACAGACTTTGGTGTGCAAATGAACACCTGCAGAGTGGGTAGAAAAATGTAAATTCCTGCACGAGAGATTCCAGTAGTTTTAATGTTGTCTTTAACCCCAGAATACTGAGCTGAAGAGCACCCTGGAGTAGGTGCTGAGGTGTTAAATACAGAAAAGAAGGGTTCTTCTGTGAATATTGAAATACTTTGTATGCATGAAACTAAGGATTCSAAAGTGAACTTTAATAGAATGTACCGAGAATGAAAATCTCAAGAACTTTTATGTTGAGGAAATTAGGATTTTCTGTAATTTAGAAGTGCAAGGATCTGAATTTCCAATCTTATTGCAATTGCTCTTATTGAGAGCCAGGAGAAAATATTGAAGGCAGKGACTCTATAGATAGAAATAAATAGGAATGGGGCAGGTATGATCAGAAAACCAAAAAATGATACAWTGGAAGACAAGAATGTTCAGTCATGAAGGAATACAAAGAATATCAGAGAAGCACATATTGYTATTAAAAGTAAATGCTAGCTTGAGGCTACAAGAGCACAAATTCTAGCACGTTTTGAAAAGAAAAAGATTAATCAATGTATTCAGAATGAATATATGTCTAGCTAAAGGTTTTGTTAACTTTGTTATTTAAATAGCAGATAGCYGAAAATCAGAAATAGATTTCTATGACTTAAAAGTTGAGTGTTTCTTGACTCACACCATTGCAGAGTTAATTTTATCTGYTGCCTGCACTGGTGTTGGCCTTCATTATCTCACCATGCATGAATTTGCCTCCACCTGTACTTAACTGATGAAGCATGTGGATATTTGGATGTGGGAACTYTCTGCCTGCTGCCTTCCAGCTCCTCTATTTTTTCAGACCAGATGTTGAAGCTTGGCGTGTTTTTGGTGTGATGCAGCGTGCACTGAAGCTGTTTGCTAGCAGTCTGACAGAGCAGGTACACGCAGTTCTGCCTCCTGAATGCCCTGGGTTTRCTGTGAGCTCTCACTCATTTCATTGCAGTGACAGCTCATGGAAAGCACACATTCAGCAGGTGGAACAGCAGCAGCTGCAAAGTGGTGAAAAGACAACAACAAGCCTGAAAAGGAAAATCTGTCAGAAACTCRGAGGGACTGAGGGCAGGCACAGCTTTATTCTCTGCTGAGGCTCCACAGTGACTGAAGGCTTGAGCATCTTCCAGATATGGGACACACACTTAGCATGATCATGGCTGAGCTCATTTGGAGCAGCTGCAGGCTCCAGTGGSTTACACAGAACTGTTCAGTTGTTTAAAAAGTGAAATGGAAGAAAGGGTTTGACTTACTGAAGTAGAAGCCTCTGTCCCCACAGACGAACTGGAGAGCGTCCACCAGCTCAGCCCCGCAGAGCGTTTCTGGCCCAGCAGCAGCAGAACTGGTTAAGGTGAGCAAACACAGGCCAAGGTAGAAGAAATRGATGTAGGACACAGTGTGCATCTTCACCTGCCAAGGAAGCACAAGCACAGTCAGGATTTCCCCGTTTTCTCTCAGGCTCTGCCTCCTGCACCCCTGTGAATGAGAACGAGCAAACACGTKCTGTGATGTCTGGGACAATAATTGGGAATGTCTCACCACGATTTTGTGACTGCCTACACCTTCTGGTCTGTGTATTTTGCAAACTGATTATTTATCCTGGTGAATATTCCCAATCACATCCAGTTAGGGAGCCCAGTGGTTCTTGTGATTTGTATTTGCTTTTGTAAAGGAGGGTATGGAAGAGTGGAATGGACAGACAAAGGGAAGCCTGGAATAACAGGAATAAGGAAAACAACCTTGAATTGGTTTTTCTCAGACCAGATGAGCTAAGAGGGAATATAACAGGTGCCTGCAGTGTGAAATGGGGGCAGCAGAGGATGGAGAAGAGCTCTTTAGACCAAAACCATCATTGTCATCACCAGAATAAATGCTCTAAACTTGCTGGAAGGAAATTTGGCCCAATAAGAAAAGAGCTCAGTCCACAGTGCTCCAGTCACCTCAAAAAAGGAAAATACCAGGACAGACCAAAAATGTTTCAAGGTTCAGCTTGCCCAAAGTTACAGGAGTTGGTGTGGGACCTTCTGAAGCAAAGAACCACATTCAGTGACTCTGGCAGGGCCCTGCCACAAGCAGGGGAACAATTGGGAACATTTGAGAAAGTTACAGGAGCGTGAGTAGGAGAKTAAAGAGGAGGAGACACCATTAAAAATGGATGTTTTTACTTGTTGCAAGCAGCCATGCTTCATTGTCCTGCATKAAACCCCTTCAGGCAGCTGTGGCTGTGAGGGACACACAGAGGTGACAATTCTTTTCTCGTTTACATTTGGTTCCAAACTCCCTTTTTCCTCTGCTTATGGTTGAAGAAAGGCCARTCCTCCATGGGTGTAAAATTGCACCAATCCATTTATCCACTCCTTTTTCTACCACTTCATGTCCACCAAAGTTCTTGCCCAACATGCAAAGAATGCTTTTTCTTTTACCACTAGAAAAAGCTGTTTATGCACAGTAGCAGGACACTGAGTAATGTGCTTAATGCATATTCTGAACTCATTTAGATCACTTGCCAAAACTGATAGTTTTGAAAGGTGTAAATCTGCATTTTATTCCATTCTCTTTCAAGGTTAACATCAGCATTGCACTCAGGTAAGAAGTTACAAATCTGCCTTCCACCTACAGTTAAACTTAGCTTAAAACTGCTTTGCAGTAGCAGTCTGGTGCAAAGTAATTGGAGTAAAATGATTAATCTTCTCTAAAGTTTGTTTCAGGGTTTCAGGGACCATTTAATCCTTAATATTTCTTCACTGAACTTTGGAAAAAAAGATGAAATTATCTATTTTTTGATCAACCGGGATCTGATCCAGTGGGGTATTGAGCCTTTTTTAGCCAATAATTTGTAAGAATTCTTATTTTCTTGGCAAGAGATCTTAGTGCCTTGCTGGATGAGTCGCTTATTTCCACTGTGAAAGCAACGAACAATTTTAAATCCCATAATATATCATAAAAAAAAAGGAAAGATAAATTATTTTCCCATTCACAAGTGTCTTCAGCCAACTTTGCCATGCACAACCCAACAAGCTTGAATGCATGGACACGACTTCAATGAGCARATGGAGAAAGATCAGATCATAAATGAATGGTGATAACATGAGGCACTGTTTCCCGTGATGATCCCATATCTCAACAACAATTTCTTTATTCCTTTGCCMCATTTTTGAATTGGTAAGATAAATGTGATGCACCTGCAGTTTAAGATGGTTCCCAGTTCTGAGGAGGTAAAGCAGAAAGCTGTTTAGCACACTGCCTCAGAAAGCTGAAAGACATCACAAATACAAGAACATTATGTATTTAACAATTTGTTCTCGTATAACATTTGGTCCAGAAATAAACATAAATTTTAGACATTTAACAATTTTTTATTTTTCAAGACTTCTCAGCTGGCTTACATTTTCAGATAAATATCATCACTGAACTACGACAAAACAGATTATCTGCTGTTTTTCCTTTAGTGGAAGCCAAAAAAGGCTGCACAGTATAAACCACAGAGAATTTCTAACTTTATCTCCGAATTTAACAACAGTCAAGAACTTTCAAACAAGTAAAAACTTCYCAGAAAAGAAAACAGGCTCACATGTTTCCAGGGTTCAATCAATTATTTGATAAATCACGCTCTGTTCCATCAAAGCAAATTCCAAAACATAGTTTAAAACTTTAAATTTACTCCATCACTTTAATTAAACACAACATTAATTGATTCAATCTGCCTGTGATAAAATCAGAGCTCCCCTTTATATCTGAGGGGGATATTCTTAAGAAAACCCCAAGCTGTAATCCAATATTGCTCCAGGTTCTCCACAATCAGGCAGAGCACTGACATCACCCCCAATCTGAGCAGAAAGTGGAGAGTTTAAAGGAAAAGGCACTGGGGTGTGGGTGGGGTTTATCGAAGCATCTGATTACACCAGGAAATTGAACCCAGGTTCAAGATGAGCCCAGTTAAACACTTCTTTTTCTTGCATAGAATGACTGACCATATTTTCACAGCTGGAATTTCTTCTTTTTTATTTATTTTTTTTTTTTTTTCACTCAAATAGCCAGCTTTTTGCTCCATTCCTCTTTGGGCAGTCCAGAAGAGTAGCACCACAAAAGAATGTCATATATGAACACCCTACATCTCGTTTACTCCTTAATTCTCCTGTGCAAGTCCCCTCCAGCTAACAAACTATCAGCTGGCACAAGTTGTGCAGGAGAATTCTTCACATGCTTGGTCATTTCAGTAACGTGTAGGGACATCTGCAATAATTASAAGTATCTTGAAGGAGGAACATTTTGAAGGAGAGTACATGCTATAGAAAGAAATGAGGAATTACATATTCAAAATTACATTTTATTCCGGGGGGGGCTGGGCCTGATTATCAACCCATAGTAGAAACATGTAATTATTATGCAATATCAGGATTTACCAGTAATTATGACACAAATAAAGCATACATGGCTCTAGAGCAGATCAAGSTTTAAATACTATTAACTTTGAGTGAAGAATCTGGGCTGCATGCTCGCCTAAATCAATATGTTCCATTGATTCCAAGGAAGCTTGGCAGGATGCACAGCTGAGGAACTAGCACATTACTTTTATGTCTCTCAGTGCCTTGCTCAATACTTTAAAAAAAACCCAAACCCTTCATCCTTCAAGAATATTGGAAATGATGCCCATTTATACATTRAGGGGATGATTTCATCCCTTGCAATTACAGACCTGTAATTAGGTCATTAAGGAATGAGATAAGTGTGTTTTTAAGTGTAAGACCCTGTAAAAAAAATAATTAGGCCCTCAACAATTAAAACAGGATAATTCTTTCCACAGCATAAATGCCCTTGTAAAACATTAAGGAGAGAAAAAAAGTTTTTGGAGAATATAAATTTGCAGATAATGGAAAGTTGGACTGGAGCCAATTGACAGAAACAGAGGTCAATGCACCTTCTGAAGTCAAATTTACCTTCAGGCAGTTTACATTATTGTGCAGAAATTACAGGGTCATAACATCAAACTTCACATGCAAAACTTTCCTGAAGCAGCCCTCCCTGGAAGGGAAAACTTGGAGATGAGCATGGAAGGGAATTTCCATTTTCTTTATGTACAATTGCTTAAGTTGTACAAATATGCAAGGTCAGCAAAAGTCGCAGCTGGTTTCTAATGTAGAAAACAAAACTGAACTTCTCATTTACTTTTAATTTATGAAAGCAAAAAAAAACCAAAAACCAAGTAAATGCTACGATGCTGCCAGAAAATTGCTGCAGTGACAACATCCCTTAAAAGTTTCCTTGTGAAAGCATGAACATTTTCTCTGTAATKGTGTATAATAAAACTGCAGAAACTTAACATGTGAATAATACCTTTTTTCCCTAGAAAACCCTGCACCTGCAGAAAAGAGCTAAAAGTTCTTGCTTTCAGAAGCATTCATTAACAATATAGACAATGATGTAATTGGACCTTTTTAACAATGACATAACTGAAATATTGCAAAGTTCTCTGAATAGAAGTGAAATTTAAGACAGGTATTTGCAATAGTTTACCCTCACAGTTATCTATGTAATTGCAAGTATTACATACAGCCATTTTCCAGATCACATAAAATTGCATGTTCAGCAATTTATAAATAATTCTCAGCTCTAAAATAATGTTATTGAAAAGTGCACAATACTCCTCAAGCCAGAAGCAGACAATACACAGCAAAATAAAACTCAAAAATTATTTGAAATAGTAATAAAGATTTACCTTCAAGAAATCACACAAGCAGCACTTAACTAATTGTGTTGAAAGACTGTTGATTTTTTCCATTGCTTCTTAAAAGTGCAAAGTCTGGAAATGAATTTGTTAGCAGTAATGATGAGAAAAAAGAAATCCAGAGAGATGTGAGATGTTGAGAGCAATGTCACATTTCAATATTGAGGACTTTATTCCATTGCGCAGGCTCTATCTGCTCTGATTTTAGCAGTGACAGTGAGATTTAGCAAACAGAAGAGGGATTTAGAGAAAATCCTCACATTTATCTACATTACACAGACACTGTAGACAGGAAACAGCTGGGGGAGCATTTGCCTCTCTCTCTCTCCCTCTTCTGGCAAAGTTACCGAGTAAGGACTTTTTTGGGCATGATGACAAATAACATCATACCTTTGCATTTTAAAACTAGAGCACAGAAGCAGATTTTTTTTTTCCCCCTTTAAAAGAATGTGAATTAGTGACTGAGGGGTTAGCAGACAAAAAGAGCTGCCATGAAAAATAAGAAAATGTATCCTGGTTAACTTTCAGGTAGCTGTGTGTGCATTTTTATTTACGTGTGCACGTCTGCATTTCAGATATATAAAAACTTACACGGTGTGGGCAATGTTTGTATATATTCATACCTTTCTATATAAATATATACATATTTGATTTATGCACAGCAGCAGAGGTATTTTATTTAAATAGCCCAGAAAAGCAGGCAGTTATCTACTTTTCTCTGAAAGTGTCTTTACGTTATTGAACTTGGCATGCCTGTGTGCTGAGTAACAATTAATACCTCCAACTCTCCGTGCAATTAACCCTAAAATGGCATTTTGTCATCTGCTAAAAACAACACAATTGTTGAGAACTGCTTGGAAATAGGGCAAAATAGCTTTGTGATCTTTCAGCAGCCACACTGGAGAAATAATATAATTTCCTATGACTTACAGTACTGTGAATTTGGTAACACAAGTAGCCCGGTTTGGGGGGCTTCCATGACATTTATCTTCAATCTGCTGCTGTGATCACAAAGTGCTCACCCCCCTTTTTAGCAGCAATCTTCAMATTTCTCTCGGTAACAATTTAAATGACACTGGGAAAGAGAGAATTTGCCTTTATTAGTTCTGCAATACCTAACTTCTCCCTTTTTATTTTTCCTCAATTATGAGTATATTATAAATAACACCAGCTGGCCAGCAACATGCTCTCACGGGTTATGATGTCATTCAAATCCCTCAACTGTGTTAGTGGCTTGCAATGTGCTCCAAGCCAGCTGTTTTTCTATTTATAATGTATGCTTGAATTTCAATACTTCACTGTTGAGAATAAAGTTGTGATGTTGTTTTACGGACGGGGCTCATTCCTGCTGCCCTTTGGGTTTGGGAGGTGGCATTTCAGAGCGGGGCACTGGACAGGGCTGCAGCTCCAGAGCCCAAACACATGTCCAAAACATGATTTCCATAAAAGCCCTTTCACAACGTTGCATTTTTGTCCCCTTTTTGTCCTCTTGCACCGAGGGAGAGTTGCACACTGAAGTGCTAGCTGCGCTTGATTATTGAAAATAACAATTGAGATCATGCTGGCCCGGATCCCTTCCCRGTTTTCCAGTTTTCAGATGCACCTTGCCAGGCAGAGAGGACACATTTGGTTATTTGTGTGCTCTGTGAGTGGCTGATGCTCTGCTCCCTGCCATTTCAAACAGGGGATGCTTGGCTAAGCTGATTAATCTTTTTGAGGGATTTCTTCCAACCTAACAGAGGGGCAGGGGGCTCTGAGGTGAGCAGCCTTGGTTCAGGTAATGCCAACATTTCAGGTATTCTAAAATGCACTGCAGGTGCTGTATTTGAATATTCTGGTCTGTTTTATTCCCCCCTCTGCATTTCAGAGGTGGCTGAAGGGTGGCACCGTTCTGCACAAAGCTGGATGATGATAGCACATGCATCCCTTCTTTCATCAGCCTTACAGAGGAATCTGGGGAGGCAAATTGATGCCTAAATCCAGCTTCACCTAACAGCTCCACCAATATTTCTGTAAATAACAGTAATTATACATGTTTTTCATAATAATATCTTCTTGTTACAGAAAAAAAGCAGCAAATGTCTATTGACAGAAGTCATATCAATCTATTAAAATATTATGGCAAAGACATGTGTTGTGGACTGAAAATTAATTTGGCAGAATTTCAGTTTGTGAGAGCAATGTATTGATACCTTAATGGTCTTACCTAAAACAGAGGCTTGGACAAAATTCYGAGAATTAAAAGCAGTTTTATTTATTGAAGGGCCTTTAGGTCCATTTAGGGCAGTCCCAGCCCACCCACAATGGACAATGGCTCACGGGTTTTTCACCCTTTCTCAATTTTGTCCATTTGCACATCAGGATTTGCTGAATCCTCCAATTGCAGCTCAGCCAATGCAGTCAAAAACTCCAACTTGGCTCCCCCAATTCTCTGTTGTTTCCATCTCTTGGGGTCTGGCCCAGGGAGGTGTCCTTGAGTTTGGGGCTGCAGAGGAATTGTTTTGTGTAAAAATGGGAGAGCAGGAGCTCAGCACTGTCTGTGGAGTCTGGAGTTAAACACTAAAGAATCACAGGGGTACAGAGACATGGAAAATACAGAAGCTGAAATCCTGAAGCACCAAATTGGCAAAGCTCTGATAATCTTTATATATATATATATATTTTTTTTTTTCTTTTACAGTAGTACAGATGGGTGCACATACTCCTGCCTTTTTCTTCCTCAATAAGACGAGGAATACACTCATTCATAACCTCCCTGCTGCCCAACCCCACACTCTCATTTCATTCTTCACTCCTCACTCTCTCCTGGCTTTCCCCAGCCCTCTCTTGGTCACGAGAGCAGCAGGCAGGAGAAGATTCAGCTTTGGGCTTCCAGGATAACCAAAAAATCCCAGTGTCTCTGAACAACTGGGGATCCTGGTTCTTCCCACAGAGTCATTCTCAACACCTTCCCTCAATGCCCCTGACCAGCCCAAGGCTCTCCACTKCTTCTGGTTCTTGTGAAAATGGAGAAAACAGAATAGATCCAAGAAAGGTTTTTGTTACTGATGCTTAGACTCAGTGCAGTGCTTTTCTTCACTCAGTTATTCCATTTTTTAAAATAAAAAATTAAAAATCCCTCAGGTCATACCGATCTGGGGATATTAGTTTCCTAAAATACAGCTTCTGTGCTGGTGATAATATTCCAGACAGTAATAATAATATTCCACACACTCAGTTAACTACTGGAGATTGGTTCATATCTCTCTTGTTACATTTAATAACTTTTTAGACCACTTTAGAATAAACTCTGTGTTACTACATGCTCATGCAGTTGCATTTCCTTGAATAAAATGCACCTGTAAAGTACAGAGTTTGTGACAGTCTTCAAAGTACTCACAAAAGATGTCCAGGTTAGAAAAAAAAATCTCATTGGAAAGCGTGTAGTTATTCTGCATGAAAACATACAGATAAAATATATATCCTTGTTTGGCATCTTGAGTATAATTTTCACTAATGTAGTAACCACGGAGAGGATGGAAGAAAACATTAAACACAGTGGCTGGCAAACTGCTGTCCTTCATTTTATAAAATAGCAGAGATGAGATTGTTTTGGGAGAAAGAGAGGAATGGAATTCTGTCATGAAATAAGTGATTGGTCAAGAATATGGTGGAAAATTCCTTTTGTTGCGTTAAAAGTTGGGAAGAAAAAAAATTGTTTTGTTAATTCATTTCAGCTAATGAGCTATTAAAAAAAAAGCCTCAAGCACCTTTTGTCATGGTGACTTAAGCAGCATCATCATCACTAGGTGAAATAAAAATAATAAATTTTGTGAGAAAGATAAGGTCAGAGAAATCTGAGCCGTCATTACATTGTTGATATTGAAGAGACACCAAGGGGAGAGCAGTGCCTAAAAAACACAATTTCTCATTTGGGMAAAACAGGGAGAGTGCAGACTGCATGATTAAATTTTATAAATTGCAATCCTCTGCTGATCAATRAAATCATGAGAATTTCAAGAGCAGGTTGGAAGTGTGAGAAGCTCAGCCCAGAATTGCTGCTGATAGGGAGCAGTGGGGGAAAGAATCAATGTCAGCGACAGCTCAAAAATAACCCATGGACTTGTAAGGTGAAAGTGTGAGAATGTTGTGATGAATAAACAAAATCACTGCATAATTTTAATGTATAGTATAAATTAAGTTTTAAATTCATATATAATATAAATTAAGTTATATATAGCTATATATATGATATATATATTTTATCATATAAATTAAGTTATATATAATGATATAGTATAAATTAAGCTACTGTTTGAATATCTTTGTATTAATATGGCATTTCCCCTGGTTTTAGGAACAAATGTTCTGAGAATAATGCAAAGCCAAATGTTGATCTCATTCTCYTACTCAAATGAAATATGTATCAACTATTGGATGTAATTGCTCAAAAGTCAAACAATTATATTTTTTTAAATTACAATATATTATGGAAATTGCACATTAATTAAGTGGCACGAGATGAGGTATGGTTACGACTCTAAAACGGAAATACAAATTATGAAAAGCAGTATTAAAAAAGCAGAACTAAAATGCTCAAAAAAATGTGTTTCAACATTTTTGAAAGCTTTTTTTTTTAGTATTTTTTAATTCCTGCTTTGTGGGAAATTTTGAAATAGTTCTGATTCAGAATAATCAAAATACCAGCATTTTCCACTGAACTGGAAATTGCCAGTTTTAGCTGTCTGTAACCTTGCTCTCACTTTCTCAATGTTTAGCTCTGAAAAGATCATCTTTGCTCAAAAAAAAAGTTGCTTACTTTCTTATYCCTAACAGCAGCAAAAAGTCAGCATTAGTAAGGAAAGAAAATGAGGAGATATGGCTGCATAAGCTCTATCTTTGCAYGTAAAGAAAGAAAGTAAAATAAATGGGAATTGAGATGGCCAACCATTATTTTATAATTGTATGAAGGGTRATTTCCATGAGTCATTTAAGTGCCTCTATCACAGGAAGATAAATGCATGGCCTTAGATATTCCCTTCATTTCCTAGATGGTTTCTCCCACTTTTAGTGAAATTTAGAGACATGGGAATTTTTTTCCTGAGTCATCATTAGCATCAAGGCTAAATCTGGGCTTGCAGATTTTTATAAAAGGGGGTCTRGCACATATGTTTAACGGTATTTTGCTTTTTCTGTGAGACAGACACACAAATGCCAATGCCTGTGTGTGATATTTTTGTTATTTGCTGACTTAGGAAAAGCTGTTAAGGGAAGTGAATACTGTAAATTTGATTTTGAGTAGGTTGGGTATGTCCA